GCCAGCCCCGCTTCCTGCCGCTTGCTAAGTTAGCGTATGGCCCTGCCAGAGAGGGGTAGGATGTCACTCCTCGGGGTGATGGGGACTGTCAGGGCACACCGGGACCCAAAATTGGGGAGAGAGGGCTCCGGTACTGGTATGGGCAGGATGCAGACTGGGGGAGATGGGAGGGGAGGGGGAAAGGGACATGGGGACAAGAGGGAGGCGCAGGGAGGCTGTTTGGGGACAGCTTTTCCAGCCTGCAAAATCAAGACAGCCAGTTGGGGTGCGAATGGGGGACCCTTTTCTGGGGGAGCAGGCACAGAGGGGACAGGGTGGCACTGCTCAGCTGGGCACCTCACGACCTGGGGCTGGGAGAGCGGTGCGACCCCGAAAAGAGGGGGCCAGCAAGGTGACATCAAGGTGGCACCTCTTTCCCGCTGCGGGTGTCCCTTGTCCCCACCTGCGCAGCCCGGCGCGGCGAACTCTGGACTCACCAGCAGTTGAGGTCGAAGACGCGGAGGCGCAGGGTGGGATCTCCCTCCATCGCTCACCAGGGCTTCACCGGGACTGGGGAGGGGGGGACAACGGCGGGCAGGCGGGGGTGTCCTGTGGGGAGCGGGTTGGGGTGACAGCCCGGGGGGGAGCCGGCGCAGGGCAGAGCCGGGGAGCAAGGGTGACACGGGGCAGAGGTTGAGCCGAGGCAAAGGCCGGGAGGGAGGAGCGCTCGGGATGGTCCAGCATGACCCCCGCCATCCCGCAGGGCCCATCCCGAACCCCGACTCGCCCCTAAACTGGGACCCACGTACCCAAACCACACGGGTGACCCCTCCATCCCGCGGATAGTGACACGGGTGGGCCGGGGATGGGGTACAAGGCTCAAACCCTTTGTCTGTCAGCGAGTTGTGTTTCCTGGATGGACTTTAACCCCCCAGTTCAATACGGCGCTGTGGGGCACGGGACACCCCACCACCCGCCTCGGGACACCCACGGGTGCTTTGGAAGAGCCCAAACCCCCAAAGCACCCAGCAGCTCCCGCAGCCGCCCCAGCGCCG